TGGATAATTTATAGGAGAGTTCAAAACAGTGGTGAAATTCAATTTTTTTTCTACCAGTTCTGTGGACGTGGCTTGGTGGGCATGGTGTGGCTTGGTGGGCATGGCAGGGGAAGGATACTGCAAAATATCCATTCCCACCCCACTCTGGGGTCAACCAGAGGTGGCATTTGCTGGACTACTCAAAATGTTCACTACAGGTTCCCCAAACTACTCAACATTTCTGCTACCGGTTCTCCAGAACCTGTCAGAACCTGCTGGATTTCACTCCTGCTTCAAAAGTTCAGTGATGGCCTCCCTTTTTTTTAATTTTTGCCTGTCAAAGGAGAGGAAATTTCCTCCTACATGACATGAAGATTGTTCTGTTCCACCCTGATCAGATGAGACATGACTCCCAAAAGAAGACTAGTCTTCAAGGATTCCCAGTTGGAATAACAGATGTCTTTCTGCTTTCAGATTCCTCATTGCAGGGAAGAGCACAAGAGGATTGGCTATTCTTGGGCCAGAGAATGCAGAAACAGCCAAGGATCCGTCCTGGATTATACGATAAAACAGCAAGGCCATAGAAGCCATCTAAAGCAAGCCATAGAAGGAAATTCAACAGGGGAAACTCATGCCATAGTTATCAAAGTAGATTTTGTGAAAAAGGATTTTAAAAGAATTATTAAGGCAAAACATTACTCGCATCATGTCGTCCCAAAAGAGCCTGATACTGCATTGGTGGTTTATTTTGAAAAAGTAAGTGGATTTGAAGTCTGTCACAAGTCCACATTCCCTTGGCCCCAACAATCTTTGTCCTAACTGCAGCAATTATGAAACAAATATATACTATACAAAGCTAAGGTTACCCCCTATGTTCTTGTATGGAGCAGAAGCGAGCGAGGTTTGAACAACTCAACACAATGGTCAGATATGGGAGATTCTATTCTATACCCTACAATGAACGTCTCTGCATTTGTGGAGTGGCAGAAGTAGAAGACCTGGCTCACATCCTCTTTGATCATGGCCTGTATAAGGGGATGAGAGACAGGTGCCTCGGTTTATAAAGCAAATGAAGGACCCATTGGGATCCCCATGTCAAAACAACTTACTTTATGTGTGGCCAGAATCTGAAAATAATATTTAACGCAGCACACAGTACTTAAGCAAAATGGTTCAGTTGAGTTCTCCCTACATGGGACTGATTGGGGTAGATTACAGGGGTGGCACTGAAATATAATTTTATCATATTTTATCTATATCTTAAATTATTGTGTCTTACTCCAATTTCATTTTAGACTCTATTTTATTCCAGTTTCATTTTAAAATTGTATTTTATTGCAGTTTCATTTTAAATTGCATTTTATCCCAATTTCATTTTAAATTGCATTTTATCCCAATTCCATTTTAAATTGTATTTTATCCCAATATCATTTTAAATTGCTTTTATCAAATTTTAGTAATTTGTTTCTGGAATTCTGCACTTTGATACGGCCCAAGGGCCAATCAATAAAGATTGAATTGAATGAAATAAATACGAGTCAAGCCATTCCTGGCTGTGAATGTCAGATGGTCTTAATTTCAGTCAGAGCTCTCCAAAAATGCTGCAGTAGTATTCATCTATATAGAAAATTATAGAAATTTTTTCAGTCTATTTTCTTTAGAAAATAATAATATATTCTTGAAAATGGTACATAATTGATTTTAACTTTGTTTCCTGTTTCAATCTTGGGCAAATTAGTGCCTTATGTTAAGGATATCCTGCCTTATTGAGGCTGTTATCCTCTATTAAATTAAATCTATTAAAGTTAAATCCTCTATGATTTAAAGGCTCAGTGGCTAAGATGCTGAGCTTGTCAACCAGAAAGGTCAGAAGTTTGGCGGTTCGAATTCCTAGTGCCGTATAATGGAGTGAGCTCCCAGCTTATTTGTCCCAGCTTCTGCCAACCTAGCAGTTCAAAAGCACTTAAAAGTGAAGTAGAAAAATACAGACCATCAAGGTAACAGCGTTCCATGTCAGCCACATGACCACGGAGACGTCTTCAGACAGTGCTGCCTCTTTGGCTTTGAAACGGAGATGAGCACCGCCTCCTAGAGGAACCTAGCACGTATGTGCAAGGAGAACCTTTACCTTTTATAGAGGATTTTAAATAGCTCTCACTTTAGAGAAGAGAGGACTCAGAATTGAGGTTCTCCCGCTGATGGCGCAGGAGGGTCCAGAAGTGGGAGTTCAATCCTTATTTGCCCAAGAGACTGAGTCAGAATTGAAGCCACGCCTCNCTTCAACCGAGCCACACTGATGTGGCTTGAACAGATGCAAGAGCGTGTGCCAACACACGACATACGATTTCTCCAGGACATTGGCAAGGTCATGGTTCGGCACGGGTGGATCCCAAGCGCCCATCTCTGTATGTTATCCTGGAATTTCTCCAGGATGGGCTGGAGAGGGGCCTGGTGCTGGACGGTCGGGAGGATCTGAGCTGCCATCCTGTGGTGAAGAGGTTTTTGAAGAGGGTGGTAAATCTTCGTCCCCAGGTAGTTCACAGGTTCCCGTCGTGGGAGTTAGTTCTCCCGGATTTTTGTCCCAATCCCACACATAAAAAGGAGAAAACTTGGCACAACTTGGATGTACGGAGGGCTCTCCGGATTTATATTAAGAGGACAGAGCCTTCCAGGAAGACTGAGGCCTTGTTTGTCTCGTTCCAGCCGTCAGCAGTAGAATCTAGGGTGTCCCCTTCTACCAGTGCAAGGCCATAATGGGCTTGCATTGCCCGGGCATATGAGGCCCAGGGTAAGCCGGTGCCTCAAGGGATAACGGCCCATTCCACTAGGAGCGCGGCCACCACGGCTGCATGGAACACTCAGGCTCCGATTGGGGATATTGTAGGGCAGTGACGTGGGCTTCCCCATCACTATTTGTCAAGCACTATCGGCTCGATGCATTTGCGTCTGCCGAAGTGTCGTTCGATCATAGGGTGCTTCAGGAGGTTCTTCTACGCTCTGGCACCACGGACCAATGAGTTCTCGCCCTAGGGACTGCCTCTTTGGTATGTCCCACTTCTGGACCCTCCTGTGCCATCAGCTGGAGAAGGAACATTGGTCCTACCTGAACGTTCTTCCCAGCGTGGTGCATGACGGTCCAGATTCCCCTCCCCCTTGTTTGATGTGTTAAGTCCATGTCCTCAAGGCTATTAATGCTGTGGGCAGGGCCTGTTCTTGTATTTCCCTAGTTGGAGCTGCGTCTCGTCAGAATTGGAAGTCAGCAGAGGAAGCTGGAGGCGTGGTTTCAATTCTGACTCAGTCTCTTGGGCAAATAAGGATTGAACTCCCACTTCTGGACCGTCCTGTGCCACGCTTAGATAGAACGTTCAGGTAACACCAATGTTCCTTTTCTGTATCCCAGTGAACATGTGATTTATTCAGCTTATCTCTTGTGTGAGCAATCAGTGTGGCAGGAGTGAGCATTGAGCATTCTAATTGTGGCCATACTGCTCATTCCACTACTTGAGTGCTGTAGAACCCTGCAAAGAATGACGCCTGGGGAGCTAGGAGTCACTATTAGTTAAAACTTCCCTCATGCTTGGATTTCAAAGCAAGTCTAATTGTAGTAAAATAATGTAAACTGCCAATAGTGACAATGGTTCGTGGCAGTGCTTTTCCACCTTGGCAGCTTTACAACTCCCAGAATTCCTCTGTTTCATCAGAATTAGGATTTGGGGAATTGAAGTCCATGTATCTCAAAGTTGTCAAGGTGAGAAATGCCCGTTTTTGGTACGTAGTATGGAAGAAGCCTAAGGTTTACCTCAAAGCCTCCAGCAGAAATGAGCAGAAAGAGGATTTGGCCCGTCTCCAAAAATCTCTTTCGGCTCTAAAATCTGAGGCAGCAGAACTCATGAAGGAACCTTGCCAATTTGGAGGAAAGGTAGTCCACATTCAGTGACCATTCAAGGTTACAGTATTGAAGGAGGGGATTTTAGCCATCACAGTAGTTCCAGCCATCACAGTGATTTAGGAGTTTGGTAATTGGCTTGCAGCCACCGTTCCATAGCATCTTCGCTGCCAGTGTATGGCCGTGTAACTTAGCAACAAGCCTACCAGTTCCAATTGTCACCATTAAGCAAGGATTATTTGTATTGCTTCCTGAAGCAATTATGTAGCAGTGCCTCAAGCATCAAGACACTCTGATAGTCTACAGGTCTCTAAAGTTAATTGTTTACTAACAAGGTGGCTTTTAAACATTCATTTTTACTAGAGCTGCCTTAGTCCTCGGCCTGAAAATGATTGCAATAGGTAAGTGGAAGAACAACTTGCCTTGTGCATAAACTCCATCCCTGTTGTGGGCCACCAGCGGCCAACGGAGCTGGCAGCAGATTCGGACAGTGAGGAGGTTGGGGAGGAACATGGGCCAGTCCTGAAGGCTCTGTTGAGGGCTCTGTGTCAGAGGCCAGAGCCATATGTCAGTTACCAGCTGCCTTCAGAGTCAGACATCAGTGAGGCTGACAAACAGCTGTTCCTAGTGTGCTCATGCACAGACTTGCAGACAAAGGGAATGGAGGTTGACTAGGGAGGACGACCACAGGTGGACGATGAATGGCCCTCCCAGAGGAAATAAGAGCAAAAGGGGAGTGGAGTTTGCAGGAGACAATTAATTAACTTAATTGGTTTGAGATGCTCCAAGACTCCTAGCCAGGTTTTGCAGATATATGGGCCTGGTAGCTCTCCAAGCCAGATAAGGTCTGTGACTGTAAATCCCCCCCTTGACTTTGCTGGATGTGAATGAGAAGATTTCACAGTAAATTAATAAAATGGGTTTTTGTTGGCACAAGGAATTCGCTTCATGCTCTCCAGAAGCCTCGGCCAGAACAATTCCAAAATGACTTTACTAAACACCTACATAAGAGCCTCCAAGCAACAATGGCTTTGAATGACCTGGACATTTTGTCCTATGAAGAATCAATTCAACTAGAAAACAAAGGTAGAAAAAGATTGGGTGTAAACTGCAGGAGAACAAAGGACACCAAACCTTAAGATAATGCAGTATTTATTCTGGCTGGATCACATATATGTCTCTCAGTATTTATTACACAAAACTATGCTTCTGAGTGTAAACACTATCTGGTAAAAGTGCAAAAGACAAACAGCATCACACTGAGTGCATAGAACAGGTTTTGGACAGATTCATAAGGAGCACATTGGTAACTGGGGTTTTTTTTTTTTTTTGTTAAGTTGGGAGTTGGAGTGTCCCACTCTGTAGATGAAGCCTAAAAATAACCAGGAACAGATAATAATGTGAACATTTTTGCTTCCCACATAAAGTGCTGGTACAATAACTTACATGTTACAAAAAGAAGCTGTAACACATACTCTAAAGCACTGTTGATGCACAATGGAGACAAGAGTCCCACTTAGGGGACATCCTGGCATTGGAGGCTCAGGCTTCAGGTGCATTTGGTCTCACCACATGCTCTAGCTGGCCTGAATCGGAAATATCGTAGCTGGCCTTGTATTTGGCCAGGATCTTCATCAGGGCACGCATTTTTAGCCACCACTGTTCCTTAGGAATCCGGTGCCTGTAGATCAAAAGAGAGAAATTGTCGTTAAAAGTTTCTACTAGGACCATCTATGAGCAACTGAGGTCCCTGCACAAGCTGGAACCAAGAAATTTCATTTATTCATTTGACTTTCATGGTGGCGCTTCTTACATACCACAATCCAAAATAGGCTTGAAACAAAGCCAATTAAAAATAATAAGAACCATTGTGCCATCCCATTCACAATGAGCAGGGCATGTGGCAATGTCCAGCTAGTGAGATGGTTTCTTAAGCAGCGGATGGTTTGCAGAGTAGCAGAGCTGAAGCAGACCTTAAAGGTCTGCTAGTCCAACTCCCTGTTCAAGTAGGAGACCCTATAGCAGTGATGACTAAGCTTTTTGTTGTCATGTGCAAAAGCGCGCGCAAGAGAGAGTGCCCACATCCAGAATACAATCGCGCCCGCCCCGCATGATTGCATTATGGATATGGGCACTTTATCTTGTGCATGCATGTGTGTCCCTGTGCTCGCCGACCCCTCCGCGTATGCACTCCCCTCACCCATTTTTGTCTTCCAGGTTGGTGCATGAGGACTTCCAGGCCCAAAATGAGGCATGGGGGATACACACACACACACAGGCCCCATTTTGGCTTCTAGGTTATTGCAGGAGACATTCCAGGACCAAAACGGGGCACAGAGATGCCACACGAGGCCCCAAAATGCAATGCGAGGACCCCGTGGATGCCTCTCCATGCGTATGGGCACATGTCCACAGCATGCACGGCAGAGACCCAAAGACACATGTGCAGTGGGGCTGGGCTGGGGAGACGGCTTGCATGCCCGCAGAGAGGGCTCTGCGTGCCACTTGTGGCATGCGTGCCATAGCTTCACCATCACAGCCCTATAGTGACCAGGGGTGGGTTTTCTGCTGGCGTTGCTGCCGGCTCGCTTTGTGTGTGCTTTGTGTGTGCTCCACTTCTTTCTGCTTCCCCAGGGGTTATCATTTCAAAATCCCTTTCAACCATTTGTTAGGATGGGTCAGTGTAAAAACCACCGTGACAAATGAATGGTTCCCTTCTGTGCTTTCTGAGATTGGAATTAGGCTCCTTCAGTAGACGGCAATTCCGTTTCTTGTATCCCAACAGCACTGGCAAATGAGAAGTGCAGCCTCTAAGAAGCATGAATTAACAAGGATGTTGCGTGGACAACTTGGGCTGGTAACATAAGCGACACACTTTGCCTATGCAAAGTTGATGCTGCTGAAAAACATCCCCAAATTCAATCTAGAAGCCATTTGTGCTATGGGGAAATCAGCTCCAGCTAAATCTCAGCTCTTCTGCCATGGGTACTTCATCTCGAAATCTGAACTGGTTTTATAACACAAGGCACGTGCAGCAGCCTCTGAAGCCAACTGAGGAATGCTGCTGAGTACCAGGTGGTCCTCAAGTTACAACCACAATGGAGCCCGGAATTTAATGTTGCTAAGTGGAACATTTGTTAAGTGAATTTGTCCCATTTTTTACTTTTCTTGCCTCATTTGTTAAGTGAATCACTGGAGGTGTTAAATTAGTTACACGGTTGTTAAGTGAATCTGGTTTCCTTATTGTCAGAAGGTCGCAAAAGGGGATAACATTGCAACCATCATAACTGTGAATCAGTTGTCAAGTATCTGAATGCAAATCAGGTGACCATGGGGATAGCAATAGCAATAGCAGTTAGACTTATATACCGCTTCATAGGGCTTTCAGCCCTTTCTAAGCGGTTTACAGAGTCAGCATATTTCCCCCAACAACAATCTGGGTCCTCATTTTACCCACCTCAGAAGGATGGAAGGCTGAGTCAACCCTGAGCCGGTGAGATTTGAACAGCCGAACTGCAGAACTGNATGACCTCCATCCCTGGCTCTCCAGAGATCATCGGTCAGTGGGACTAAAGCGGTTTCCGTGCTTGCTTGGATGCTGCTCCCAGATCGGATCACAGGCATAAGGTGGCGCCCAGGCCTGGGCCTAGTAATACTGTGGGTGAATTTAATGACCTACCTGATAATATCCAATCTCTTATTCATTGAGCCATTGCGCATGGCATAGCCCTTCAGGGTCGTTCCTCTGTCCAGGCAGACGTGGAGCTGGTGGGGCCCAAGCACAGACACATACAAAATCCGGTTGCTTGCTCGGACAGAGTGCAGAGAGAGGTATCCCCCTCCTTGAGGAGTGAGGTTTTGATCCAGGAAGATGAGGAAAAAAAGACTGAACTCTCTGATGACGAAGGTTTGGCACCTGATGTCCCAGCTTTTGCCGGTTTATTTCCTCCTAGTTTGTTTTGTTCCTTGCTATTCAAGAACAGAGGTACTGCAGCTGTCGAGACTGAGGCTGACAAACAGAAGGAGAAAGAGAAGGGTGCAGAGGCCGATGCTTCAACCTCAAAGATGGCGCTCAAGAAGAAATGTTTCTTTGTGGAGCCCGCAGCTCAGAAGGAGGAAATTCCTGCGCCAAAGCTATTTCTGGATGTCATTCAGAAGCAGTGGGCCAAACCAGGTACCTTCCCCACCCCGGGTGAGAATGACAGGCAGTTCTATAATATGGAGCCTGATTTTTCTCAAGCATTGCAGGTGATGGAGGTAGATGCCCCTGTGGCTGCCTTGGCATCCCCTATGCCTTTGGTGGCGAGTGATGTGGCGGACAACTTGAAGGCTGAGGATAAGAGGACTGAATTGCCGTTATGTAAGACTTTCCTAGCTGCAACTTGGGCGATAAAGGCTGTCTCTTTGGCTTCTTTCTTCAACCGAGCCACACTGATGTGGCTTGAACAGATGCAAGAGCGTGTGCCAACACACGACATACGATTTCTCCAGGACATTGGCAA